CCCCCCCCCCCCCCCCCCCCCCCCATAAACCCTTGAGACAACCATTCCCACACGCGCCTCACCCTCCCTAGCCTTCCTTACCCGACGGCTCCGAGCAAGCGAGGGATCCGAGCGGTCACCGCGACGACGCCGAGGAAAGCAGCGGTGGTCGTCCCCCACACCACCGGGGGCACAAGGGGCTCCGGCATGACCGACCTATCCAGGCTGACATCCAACACGGGGGGAAAAGAAGAAGCCAGCACGCTCCTGCTTCGCTGCCTTTGTTGCTGCTGCTGCTTCTGCTGCTGCTGAAGGAACAAACGCGTATCAACGTTGGAGCACAAGGTATGAAGCGAAAAAAAAAAGTCTTTCAGGGGTGCAGAAAAAAAGGTGTTTGCACAATAACACACACACGCACGCATTCGGCCAAGACATGTAAAGACGGAGAGAGAGGCACACACGAACATATTATGCACATACAAAAGAGCGAAGACGAAGTACGAGGCTAGTTTTGTGCTTCATGGTTCGGCGCGGTCCCTTTCTCAGGAACAGAACGTCAAGTTCGCGCCGTCCGTGTGTGGCGAAGCAGCAGCAGCAGCAGCAGCAGCAGCAGTAGCTACAGCAAATCCAGACAAGTTGGCAACCATGAAGAAAGGCAACACACTACCAGACCATCTCTTTGACGTACACGCGTGCGCCGAACTACAACAAAAACGGCTAACAACGACAGGAACGTGAGACCGCTCCTCCCACCCCCGTCTTACCCCCATCTCACCTCCCCTTCCCGATGAAGCCTCTGTTGCCGCCGCCGCCGCAGCTGCGTCTCCTGATTGGCCGCCTCCCTTACCTCCGTCCATTCCTCCTCCGCTCCGCTCATCTCCATCTCCTCCACCTCCCCCTCCTCCCCTTGTTGCCACCACTCCCCCATCTCCTCCCACTCCGCGGGGTCCCCCCGCCGCTGGCGATGAGCCTCGAAAGAGTCTGGCGCCGGATTGCTGTTTCGCCCTTGTGGTTGTTGTTGTTGTTGTTGTTGTTGTTGTTGTTGTTGTTGTTGTTGTTGTTGTCCCGCTTCTCCCCCGCCCGCGACGCTTCGCCGCAACCCTGAAGCGGAGGAAGAAGAAGAGGAAGAACAAGAAGAAGATTCCCCGGCCCCTGCCGTCAGCCCAGCCGAGGCGGCGGTTATCACCGGTCGTTGCGCTCCGCTCCCGACCTCGGTCACCGCCGCCGCTTCTTCCTCGTCGAGGGAACTCTGGCCGCCGCCCGCACCCGTGTTTACCGCCACCTCCCGCCGCTCATGGTCGGCCCGTTGCGAGGTCCGAGTCCTTGCCAGCAGGAGGCCGGCGCCGACCACCAGCGACGGCAAGTCGCCCCGTTTCCTGAAAGAGTTGCCGTCCCCGCCGCGGCCGGCGGCCATCGTGAGAGAGGAGGCAGAGAACCGCGCGCCCAGGCCTTCTCCTCCTCTCCCTGCAGCTGCTCTCCCTCGCCGCCGCCGCCGGTGCTGGCTTGCTGCGGTCGGTCTTGGCCAGCCGCCCCCTGCGTGGCTGCCCACCCGGCTGTGGCGTCGTTCATTCTGCCGAGAAGACGCTGGCGCTATTCTTGTCACCGTTGGCGGTGGTGTTGCCCACCCTGTCCTTGCCCTCGCTGGCGCCACCGAACGGCCTCCTCTGCCGGCGCCTTCGCCGGGGCAAAAGCATAGCCCAGTCGCACCGCCGCCGCCTCCCCCCAGAGCCAAGGCTGCACCGCCCGCGCCGTCGCTGTTGCCGAGCTGGCGCCTTAACCGGCTGTAGCAACAACCGTCCGCCTGCCCTCGTGTCGACCCTTCCGCCCTTCGTGTCCCTCTTGCTAGCTGCGCGGGGGCCACGTGGAATCCTTTTGCGGCTGGTGCCGCGGAAGCCGCCGCCGCTGCGGCTGCTGCGGCCGCCACCGCCGCTGCCGTAGTAGTGCCGATGGAGAGCCGCCGCCTTCGCTGTTGCTGCATCGTGCCGCCTCGTGCAGCGTACTCCGGCATGTTTTCCTGGTTTCCCGTTGTTTTTTAGATACGAGCAACATGTAGACAAGGTCGGGAGGAACAGCAGAGTTTTGAGAAGCGCAGTGATTGTCTAGTACGCTACACAAAACACGACTCGTTTTCGGATGTTTGCTGTTGGCACAGCAGTCTATGCATGGACCCTTCCAAAGATAAATTGCGTGAATGGAGCATGCGCGCCTAGGGTCTGACCAAGGAACACGAGCGCGGTTGGTCCGCGAAGACAAACGTTCGACAAAAAGAGGCGAACATTGTAGGACATTTAGCAAGCATTTCAAAAGGCGCGCCGCATCTATCAACCTGTCGTGTTGGGGTTGGCAATCCTATGAGAAGATGGGGTTGGCAATCCTATGAGAAGATTTTCAAAAAACACGTGCGTGCGTGCAGAGTGTAATGTGTAGCAATTCCAAAACGCGGACCGGCAACCACGCCCCCACAGCAGTCAAATCTGCTCTGGGTGGTCTCGGGTGAGCGTTGTGGAGTTGTTAACTGCAGGATAGCACGTTAGCCACGCAGCAAGAAGGATCGCAACAACAGCAAGGCAGGCGTGCTACACTGCTGTTTGAAAAGCGCGCGTGGACCATGCGCAAACATGAGTCAAGCGGAACAGAGGTTCCTACACGGCAGCAGCAGAAGCACCAGTAGCAACAGCAGTTTTCCACCGTACTAGCAAGGCCAGCCTAGAGGAAGTACAACGGGAACGTGCTACGAAGCCTGTGTACTCCGGCCGTTGATTCACAACAGCGGCAGCGATGGATGTCGGTTCCGACGTTTAGACAGGGTCACCTTCTTCCTGGGCATATCCCGCTCCGACACCAACATTCAAAGCACCAGGGGCTAGCTCACCTCTTTCCCCACAGAGCAGGGCTGTAAACACAGCGAACGAAGAACACAACCAGCACACCAGAACCTATGCATAAGATGCACGCAGACGGTCGAACGAAGCTGCTCTTGAAGGGGTTTTGCAGACAGTACTTTACGGGGATGCCAAAATTGTTACTGCGTGCCCCACCCGGTCATGGTTGCTGGATGCCGTGGTTGCGTGGAGGGCCAGCAGGCACATCACACATACCTGCTGACAGCAGACTGACGACCTTACCAGCCTCGTGACCGCTTTCGCCAGGCGCCACGAGAGGCGTAGTTCGATATAGACACTTCAGGTCCGGTCCCCCCCCCCCCGATCTACAGGAAACCGGGCGGACAAAAGGAGGGTAAACATGACCTTTCTTGGGAGCCTCGCGTTGCTACTTGCAGCAGGGGTGGTTGCTCCGACAGGCAGTCTCACGGCCGCTGCACAGAGCACGACAAGCCAGCCTTCCTTCTTCCTGCAGGACCCGTCCGACGGTGAGGCTGCTGTGGTGTCCGGTTGTGTACTGCTGTTGGCCCACGTGTCGCTCCACACGCGAGGCTTTTGAGAAGGGCATAGCTGCGTAATAGTGAAGCTCTGATTCTGTGAGTTGTCAAGGGAGGAACAGATAAGAGGTATCGGGGGTGTAGACACGTGTGTGTGCATGTAAAATTGTACAGAGGGGACGCAACGCAGCCCGTTTCAGTCGCGCAGCCCGTCGGTAGTGGGCCCGACTGTCGCCCGAGTATCCACTGGTTCGGTCGAGCTACCTCTTGCCGCAGCGACGGATGCACTTGCGAAGGAAACGGTGGGTCATCGATGACCGCACAAGGCACACACACGACCCCTGGAGAGAACTAGCAGCAGCAGCAGCAGCAGCAGCAGAGCTTGTTTTTTCAACACCATGCAGCCTTCATACTGTCGCCCTTCGTCTCTCTCGAGAGGCCGACGGACAAGGAAGCAAACAGCCGAGAAGTTCCGCCCTGCTGTACAGCTGACTAATCGGCGTGGACTCTTGAACATTGGCCCTTCTGGATCTACCTCCATGGGTAATGATGTTTTTGAGGGCAGCGGTCAACGTTGAACATTGAAAATTGGAAAATAGTTGTGCATACACCGAGCCATGTTCTCTATCGCGATTCCTCTCCCCGTCCCTTGCGTGACCGCACCCGGCAGCAGCAAGCAGCGTCACTCGCATGTTCCACCGCAGGCAGACTTCACTTTTGCTGGTGTGGAGACAGAGATAAAGAGTGTGCGTGCGTGCCCTTTGGAGGGTAGGTCTCCTTGAAAAACAGCAGCAACCCGCTGCCTCACACAGCTGTGTACATCCCATTAAGATTCTTGTGATTCACGCTGTTGATGTTCCCACAGGGTTTAGTGTTGAGGTTGTGGCAGGTAGTAGCGTTTGGACCGACACGCTTTGGTGGCGGGGTTGATGCGGCGCCTTCTCCGGAAAAACTGGGATGTTGGACGCATCATCTCCGTTAGCCACTGATGGTTGTTTGGTACATCACCTGGAAGTACATAATAATGTACCTTAAAAGAACTCACACAAGAGCAGTCCCTGTACTACGGCAGTACAACCCGAAAGCAGTGACTTCCCTTCCCATACCTTTCATATTGAACTTTGAAGAACACACACCTGAGCCTCATTGATCATTCTCAAAAGCATTCCATCCTGCCGCCAAAGGTTGAGTGACTGCCGCCGGAACAGGCACGAACGACGGGGCAAGGTTGTTTGTTTTCAAATTTCACCTCCCATGCAGACCCCGCCGGTACATGCACGTGGTACATACACGTCTACAAAATATGTACAGCAAGCAGTATTAGGAGCGGAATTATGCCCGCCTTCGAGAGGGTATTAATATGCATATGCATATTCATCTATGAAGTAGATAAGGGGCTTTCCTTCCCTTACCCCTACCCCTACCCTTAACCCCCGATCCACACACCCTTTACCCCTACTAACCCCTCCTAGAACCAACCTTAGTATCCGCGCGAAGGATACTTCGAAATTGAGGCTGGGTGGAAGCCCTCCCCTTAGATGTGGCTGGCTTCGTCCTCATCTCGCTCTCTTGACCTGAGCATTGCCTGAACAGGACGGATATGCCGACGTCCACCGTGTGCGAGTACATCGCACAGAAGTCAGTAGTTGTGGCATGCATAAGCCCTGACCGATCAGTCACGCGGAAGGCGTGCTCCGGCAAAAAAAATGCGCTGAGGGCAGGGATTAAAGCATTTGCCTGGCATATAAAGTCCGTGCCTGAGATGTCTGAAATTTTGTGGGCTGTGTGACTACTCTGATTTCAAGTTTAATTTTCATTGAGACGGTCATATGCATAGGCCCGTTATTATCGTGGCTCCTGTGCTGCCTGGAGTTGCCTGGGGTTAAGTGGAGAGATGCCTGGGAGGGTTGAAGAAGGGGCCCTTCGGCGAAAACGCAGGTGCGCCTGATTGGTCAGGGCGTACGCATTCACGGGAGTTGTGTGCACGACAACAACGGTAACGCATTGTTTCCAATTCTCCGTATTTTGTTTTTTCTGTGCAACAACGCGCAATCAGAAAATCGGTGAATGGTGCTGCAGCTGTGGAGGTCCGGATTAAGAATATTTCGCCTAGCGGCCACAGTATTGGTTTTCCTCCACTTGCTGAAAAGACTCCACCACATCCCGTTCGACTGTGGGTGGGTATATCTCGGATGGGTAGTCTTTCTGTGCGTGTATTTATTTCTCCTTAGATTGTACCGCCGCCTCTTGGCACGTACGCATGGATGGATGCTCACAAGTACAAGTTATTGGAACTTTCAATGGAGCCGGCCGAACAGCACGGGGGGAATCGCGCATACATGTGCGGGGCGGGGTAGCATGTTCGTCAAGTGCCCCTCAAGACTGGTGCGCATCTTGGACGAATGCATCCAATGAAAAAGAGGTTTCCATCGAATTAATTGCAGATACGTACACCGCTGTACATTGTTTCCGTAGTGTAATTGTTTCCGGAGTGTAGTGCGCATGGCGCCTTGAAAACGAGGCTCTTCTTACGCACCACATTTTGTTTCTTTCTTGTGGCTGACCACAGCGCTAGGTGACCTCCTTCTGTTTTTGATCAGAACAAGTCTAGTGTTTTGTATTGCAATCAGGAGGTGCTTTTGGTCTAAGGCTTGTTAACCCATATTAGGGTTAACCCCTTTGGGTCTAGGCTCGGACTGTCAGATTTTTTTTTTGCGCCATAATAAAAAAAATGAGAACGAGAGCGAGCGGGAGAGAGAGAAGTGCAGAGAAAGACACCAGTGTATTTCTGCACACGCAACAGCTATCTCCACCTGTAGGCCTTGAGGGAAGCCGGCGACAGGGCGGTGGCCACAGACAGGGTCGTAGAAGACTTGATGGGTGGTCGCGCTGCGGTCAGTAGGGCAGGGTAGCTGTGTAGACTTTGAAATGATCAGTCGTCTAGCTGCCTCAACTAGTCTATTCGGTATATATTGTAAATGATCAGTCCAGAGAGGGTGAAATGATTAGTGAAGACCCATAGCTGGTATTTGTACTTCTGTACTTCTCTGTTCTCTGTCCCCCCCCGACATGTGCCCTGCCAGCTCTCTAGAGCTCCTGTGTTTTTCAAACAAGCACGCCCACCAACACACACCTGTACCTCGTGGTTTCTTATATTCGGGCGATGGTATGTGTGGCGCTACGAGCGCGAATGTGTTACTGATTTCTTTTTATCTCGTATACAGCAGTTCTAGCAGTGTTGGTATAGCGTTGTAGCTGCCGACACGCCGACTGCTGGATTTTGGGAACGATTTTCAATTTTTTGGGAGATGCAGCTTTTACACGACATCCTCGATATCTGGGCTTCCGCAGGGCTTGCAATACACCTCCCTTATGCTGCCCTCTGCTCTTTGCAGCAGTGGCTTTCTACGTTCGGGCGAGGATGGGTATGTGTGTTGCTACGAAAGAGCACGTATTTATGCATGTACACACACGTCAACAATGTACAAACCTTGAGATATTCATGATTTGACGCGGACTGGCCCCATTCTCGAGACCCTGATGTTACCCGCTGTCACTGACGTCACTTCATTGGTCAGCCGGTTAGCGCGGGTGCTAATAATCTAGACACACCTACCTATCGACTTGCCAATACCCGGTGCTAGGGGCGACAGGGCGGCAACTCAACGACTTGCCGCAACACCGGCATCTGCAAATGATCAATCAATCATCAGTCAAAACGCCTGAAGACTCAAAAGGGTTAAGCCTAGTGCTGGGGAGATGCGTTTTGCCTCATGTGCACGTGAGAGCATGGGATATATCGGTCCGATCGGTGTTTGAAGAAATATGAACCACACCAACATTGATGTATTACCCCCCGCCCCCAAATGGCGAACGAACCACAGGCCAGTGTCTAGAAGGCGGTACGTTCAAGCGATGCGGCGTGGACACGCTGTGGTACGTGACGGGCACCAACACACAGTACCAGCTGCACCACCGACCACTGGAAGACGGGGAAGATGTGAGCGTTGCTGCTGCTGCTTTTGTTGTTGTCGTTGGTTCGGGTGTTGTTTCCGAACAGGCGAGCTAATATACACACGAATCTCTATAGGCCCAAACGGAACAGTTTTTTGCTGGGTGTCCGCACCACAGGTCAAAATGATATGAGTTGAGGTAGGTGTGGGTTGCTGTGAGATGGTCGGTTGTGATTGAATGTGCGGAATCAAGATGTGCTGGTGGATGAAAGTGGCATGAGGTGGTCGGGAACAGCAGAATGGAGTGCGACCATGGATCGACCCTGTTGTGTTGCTACGGAGGCAAGACATGGTCAGTGGGCAAAATATTGCAGGCGACAGCAGTGGACGGGGATAACGAGACGATAAAAGTAAACTGTCCTTCGTGCTTACCGCTTGTGTTGGCTCTGACAAAGTAGCAAATACACCTATTTGAGAAGTCGAAATGAAGATCTGGTAGAATGAATTGCGAGTATCTGGTGTAGTTAGATACAGCATTCTATTCTCGCTTCAGCGAAGAAAAAAAATCTACTCCTGAACAAATAGTAGATCCTCATTCTTTCTCTTGGTTTCAGAGTACCCCCCCCGTCCAGGCCAGGCCAGGACTGCCGGAGATAACAAAAGGTTCGCAAAGCGTTTCCTTGTGCACCTCGGTGTGATTGTGATTGGTGCAGACCACGCGAACCGGTGGGGAGGAAATGGGACACGAGAAGAGACGGGAACAGCAACCAACCACGCTGTGGCAGTGGCAGTGGCAGTGAGGCCAGGTTTCACGACAATCACGACAACACCCGCGCTCTCACGGTATCATGTTTCTGGAACCGGGTGCGTTTGTCGTGTTCCGTCTATGCTTTTTGTAGCTCACTGTTGCTGCTACCGCTGCTAACCGTATGTTGTGCCGCCGCTGCCGCTGCTGCTGCTGACCATGAATTGATGACAGGATACGTGCCTTGACAGAGTCAGCTGCGCGGGAGAGGGCTCCGAGCTAAAGCTTGGCGCCTGCAAGAAGTGCTGCGCAAAGGTAAGAGCGAACAGGAGCTTTTTCTTTTGTTCGGCATTCCTTCGCTTTCCCTCCTTGCTTGAAATTGACCCACATTGGAGACGTTCGATTGCACCTGCTGATGCTGATGCTGATGCTGATGCTGCCAAATTATATGTTTCCCGACGTTGACTGTTTTGGCCTTGTGGTTCGAACTGCCCTCGTCGTGCATGTTAAAATTTGATTTCGAAAAAAAGGAAAGATTTTATTCCGATGTACACTTCATATTCATTTATAGTGGCCGTACGTCTATGACAGGCGTGTGTGGGTATCTGTGACAGGCGTGGAACATCCTGGGAGACGCGCAGAGTGCATGTATCTCCGTTTGCGTGCGTGCTTTTTTGTTCACGTCGACCCTGCTAGTCGGCTGACCAATGAAATGACCTCCATCTCAGTGCGGCTGAAAACAGAGAATGCCCTTAACGGCCATGCACAATCTGGGACCCCGGCAAGGGGCCAGACGTTGATATATGGAGATGTGTGTGGGTGTGCATGACAGGCGTGGAACATCCTGGGAGACGCGGAGAGCGGTTACATCCTCACCGAGGGGGACGGAAACCGCAACTGCCTGCAGAGGGACGGGGAGTCGGCGAAGGTGGCACCCTGCGACTCCGGCTACGCCAGTCTGTCGCTGCAGTTCGCCTCCAAGGAGGACATCGCCCTCATGATGAGCCCCGGAGCTAGGTGAGACGAGAGGCAAGGCAAAAAGAGACACGCAAGGGGAGAGACTACAGAGAAATGTCGCTGTGTTGGAGAGAGGTCGGAGTGGTGGGGGGAGCCCCGGGGCTACGTGAGAGCGGAAAAATACACCAAGACACAAGTAACAGATACAGTAGAGGTCCCTGTTTAGTGCCGGTTGAATAGCGCCGGTTGCCGTTAGAGTGCCGGTGTTTTCGGCTCGCACACACTGGAATACCAAGTCGTTCTGTACTTCGTATAGTGCCGGTGTCCGGTTTAGTGCTGGTGAAATTTCGGCCCGCACCCCGGCACTAAATAGGGACCTCTACTGTTTTATAGACGACGAAACAAGAGGAAGTAGTTTTTTTTTGTGATGGAGAGATGTCGGAGGTGGAACGCGATTTTTGCCGCAAACTAATTTGGCGTTCTGCATTCCTTGTAGTGTACCGGTGTGATGCCTGGGAAGGTATGCACATCCGAACGCCTCTACCCAAACTACACAACTGTCGTGGCTACCATTTTCCCTCGCTTTCACCCCCCCACACACGTGGTTCATGCATCGTTGTGCGGCTTGAGGGCTTTATCATGAGCCAGCGAATGTTCATTCGTTGGTTGTCGCGTTATCAGCATCCAAGGCTGACTATTCGCCCACACCAGTAGCACACAGATTATGTTGCCTTGTTTACTGCCATGATCGTCGCAATTCGTTTTTTCTGAATCCTCCCGCTCTGACCCCCCCC